GTAACACGGGGAAGCCACACTTCTGTCACAGGGGACATGAATTCCCCAGTCTCAGCCAACAACGCCTGGCCCCTCGGAGGAAGGCCAGAAGCCAGGTGAGAGGGGCTCGGCAGTGCTGCACGGGGACGCACGAGAGGATGGCTGGGCAGCCGCGGGGCTCTGGAGGGCAGCAAAGCAGCACACAGAGGATGGCCTGAGGAGGGACTGGGGCACAAGCAGGCAGAGGGAGAAACCCCACTCAGGCTAATCTGAACCACAGGCATCCATGAGCCCCTCGGCATGCAAGGGCTCAGTCTGTCCCCCCCACCCCCGCAGCATTTAGGAATGAGGGGGCTGTGCAAAACCAGGGTACATGCACAGCAGGCAGCTGGTACCGCCACGACCTCTCTCCAGGGCACAGCTTAGGGCTGAGACTGAGCGCTCAGCCACAGGCTGGCAATCAGCTCAGAGGATTTATTCACTTGTTTTCCTTAAGCCACCTTATTTATTTTTCCCTTTTGGCTCCCTAGCTCTGGTCTCAGCTGGAATCCTTGGGATTTGCAGGCTGTTTTGCAGGGTACAGTGGGCTCAAGGTTCGACAAGAGAGGCGTGCAGGTTTCCCAACCCACCTCCTCCCACCCAGGAGACCTACCGATGGGGGACAGCTCAGCCACACTGCCAATGTAGGGCCCCTCCAGGAAGCGTGGCTCGCTGTCGTTGATGTCCTGCACCTTGATGATGAACTCTGACTCAGGCTCCAGCAGCTGGTCCGTCTGCCGGTCGCGGGCCTGAGCCCGCAGTGTGTAGAAGGTTTTCTGCTCCCGGTCCAGGCGCTCGGTGGCATGGATGTCACCTGTGATCTCATCGATGAGGAAGATAGTCCCTGCGCCCTCCCCGGAGATAGTGTACTTGATGGAGCCGTCCCCCTCATCCGAGTCATCCGATTCCGAGTGGATCTGCCAGGGAAATAGGGAGAGGGTGGGGGCAGGCTGGGGCCATGCTTGTGCCCCCACAGCCAGGACCGCATGGGTGCAGAGCCCCTGGTGCAAGGTGCCCATGGTCCCTGCGTGATGCCAGTCTGCTCCCTCTGCTACTGCTGGACTGGAGAGCAGCACAGAGCACCACCAAACAATGCCTGTGTTTGGAGGAAGGCCCAATAAAACGGAACTTCAGTCCTGCCTATGCCACCATACACTCGGCAGATCACCAATCCTGCCAGTACCCACCCACACCACAAGCCAAGGGATAAACCCCACCACGAGGTTAGGAGATGCTGGAAAAGGGAAGGACAACTTAACAGCACTCCAGAAAAAAAGGCTTCCCTGTGGGCATGGACCCAAGACCCTGTCAGTGTAGGGATCACCTCTCCCAAGCTGCACAGCAGACCGGAGTGTAAAGGCAGCTCACCACCAGCATCTCTCCCCATCTACCCAGCCGGCTGCCCAAAGCCCATCCTCATCTGCCAGCTCTGCTCCAGCCAGAGCCACCCTCCGTTTTCTGGGCCGTCGGTGCTGACAAGTCTCCCTGCCTGAGAGCTCACGCGCTCGCTGCACATCTGTATTGGGTTTACGTGGCAAGGTAGCGGGGGTCAATCCCTCACAACATCACACCCAGAGCCCCCACCTGAGCAAAGCCTGCAGGAGACTGTGGTAAATTAGGCCTGTGTTCAGGATGAAAAACAGACCCTGGGGAAGATGCTTTTGTAGCCAATCTGCTTCATTTTTTAATTACGACAACGTTTGAAATTAGGAAAAGAAAGGGTAAACAGCAGCTCCCCACGGACTAGGAGCTGACTGGAATCCAGGACAGACGTCCAGAGATAATTTTATTGGTGGCATTAAACTGAGTTATGAGGTTTTTACAATCCAGCCACTTATGAGAAATCTATTAACAGTAACTGGACAGGCAGAATGCATCTTGACAGAGAGCAGCATGGGCATTAATTGGGACAATCCATAACAGGACAGGCCCTTTCCGACAGGAAAGGTTTCATCAGCTGCTTTCATTTGCTTCTTACAATTTCTGCTTAGAATCAGCAAAGTCGTGTGTGTGTGTGTGTGTGTCCCCCACCAAAAAAAGAAAAAAGACGTCCATTAATCGGCTAATGAAATATGAAAATGTTTATGGGCCATTCAATCTTCCAAACTGCAGTTCTATAATCCACCTTTCAGACATACAGCTCTACCAGCAAGAATTTATACCAGAGCTGCCTCTTTTTTATGATGCCTTCATTATATTTGTCTTGTTAGATACAGTTTATATATTTATTTCATGAGTGAGGGGCTCATGCATTAGACAATTCAATGCATTCTACACAACATTCACATATTACTGCCCATGTTGAAACATCTCCCAAGGCTTGCCTGGCAAGGAGACCGTCACTCAGCTAGCAAACGGGGCTGTGAACCCAGCAGTGCTCTGGGACCACTGTGGCAGCACCTCTCCGAAAGTGCCTGCAGGCATGGTCTGCCCTGGTCTGCAGGAGCACCCTGCCCTGGCGATCCTGCTCCAGCCCTCCCCGCTGGCTGCTGGAGAGCTTGCTGCTCCCTCCACTTTATAATCCTCTCCCTAATGTTCACTACCACTCTGCTAGAGATGAAGCTTTTCAGAAAGAAAAAGGTGCGCCTGGTCTGTACAGCACAGGTAACAGAAACCTGCATTTTTCTGCTGAACATCAGGCTCATGATTAATAATTAGGCCAGAGATAAACCACCCAGCACCTCTTCCCATAACCACACTGAGCTCTCAGCACATCCTTTTTACATATTTGCTCATCGCTGACTGCTCAGAGCAGATACCAGCATCCCTCTGCAAGCTGGAACGCTAGGAAGAAAAATGGAGCCTGGGCTCAAGGGGCTGTAGAGATTGATTTACAAGGGAAGATTAAAAGAGCTAAATCTGTGCTGCTTGACTAAACAACAACTAATGGGGGAGGGCCAGATAACAGACTACAGACATCTGAGGGGAGATGCCACAGGCCCAGACCACGTCGCAGGGATGCTCTCTCCCGCCCGGCCC